TAAGTAGGCTCCACACCCAGCACAGAGCCCAACTCCCGCCCTGAAATCATGACCGTGAGATCAAGACTTGAGCTGAGATCAAGTCTCATGCTTAACCAACTGAGCCATGCAGATGTCCTGTTGGTTATATTTCCTAATTGTATAAATTTGATGAGCACTTACTCTCCATAAGCTAATGGTTACTTCAGTTGTAAGCAAATACAGCACGACATACGTAGAAATGACTATGTGTCAAAGGTCCTAACTGTTGACATGTGGTGACACCGGACTGTTGGAAGGCGGCATATCTGGATAAGGCGTGGACTTTGGCGTGCTTATCAAAGCAAGCCAAGCCGACCTCTGCTCTCGGGCTACTTGAATAATAAATAACGCACCTTGACAGAAAGAACCGCCCATGAGGTAGTGAAGTCTGAAATGTAGTGTAACAGTGGCCGTTGGCCTGCTTATGTGTTTGCTCACGTGGGGTTGGAAAAGTTCGTCTTTTCTTAAATTTTTTTTTTTAAATATTTATTTATTTTTGAGACAGCATGAACAGGGGAGGGTCAGAGAAAGAGGGAGACACAGAATCTGAAACAGGCTCCAGGCTCTGAGCTGTCAGCACAGAGCCCGACATGGGGCTTCAACCCACGGACCACGAGATCATGACCTGAGCCGAAGTCTGACGCTTAACCGACTGAGCCACCCAGGCGCCCCTAAAGTTCGTCTTTTCTTAATCGGGGGCTGTAGAGGTCATTGTGATGGACAGAGACTGGTGAAACGGCTTTTAACATCGTTGTAACCCCATTAGCATTTTCACGTGTGCTCGTATATGCTTTATGGGTGGAGCCTCGGGCTGTGAGTCGCTGCTCCTTTGTCACCCCACACTGCCCTCCAACACACAGAAGGGAAATGCCCTCGACTTACCTCCCCGTAAACCCCGTAAACCACCCCGTCGTGGCCCACAACATCCTTTAGGAAGTGAGGTTGAAGGTTCCTTTGGATGTTTTAGTTACAGGTGTTTAGCTGCGTGTAATAATTCTCAGATGTGAGAATGCATGATGGTGTGGTAGTGTCTTCTCCTCACCTTAGAACACATCTGACATCGGGTGGGATGCTATGTGCAACCATTGGGGGGCAGTGATGTGGGGGAGCAGGCTTTCCCTTGAAACTGGAGACTCGGGAGGGTCTGTCTGCAGGAACCGCAGAGAGGAAGGTCAGCAGGTGCGGGGTGGGGGTCAGCTTAATGAATGGGGGTCAAACTCTACACTGGTTTTGTTGCCAAAATTAATAAAGTATAGGGGCGCCTAGGTGGCTCAGTCGGTTGAGCCTCCAACTTCGGCTCAGGTCATGATCTCACGGCTCGTGAGTTCGAGCCCCGCATCGGGCTCTGTGCTGACAGCTCAGAGCCTGGAGCCTGTTTCAGATTCTGTGTCTCCCTCCCTCTCTCTGCCCCTCCCCCACTTGTGCTCTGTCTCTCTCTCCCCTTCAAAAAGAAATAAACATTAAAAAAAATTATAAGAAACTAAAGTTAAGGTGTAGTTACGAGGAAGAAAAGATACCCGTTTACGTTTCCTGCTTTTGTGTTTAAAATGTCTTGACAAATTCATTGTAGGAATGAATGTAGTATTGAATGTAGTATTCTTCATTGTAGTAGTTTTTTAATAGTGGTTCAGATTTAGGGATACATGAAACACGAGACTTGAGAAGATGGAGGGGAAGACATACCACGGGCGTTTCCCTCACACAGCTGGAAACCGTAGGCTCCATTAACTTCTTTGGGCAAAAATAAGGTTTTCTGAAACAAATTTGGTGATGGGCCGAATCACCCAATCTGTAGCATTAGAAAAACTGGATCTCTTCTGTTCTAATAATAGGGAGCGCTTTCTTCGGGAACTCCGGCTCGAGGGGCGTTTAATTTGTCAAGGCTAGCTGATTAGGATTGACGTCCTCAGTCTGTCAGCTTTTGCATCCAGAGAGGGAAAAGTACTAATGTGCCCATGAACCTCGCTTGGTGGCGTGAAATGTGTGTCAGGAAGAGGATCAGCGTGATCAGGCTCGTCACGGAGCCAGACGGCGTCCTGATGCGTCCTGACGCGCCTGCAGTTGTTGGGAGGCCGGGGGCTGTGGCAGCTCGGGGCCCACCCTGTTACCGTGATCAGTGGGACGCAAGCCACATTCTTGACCCTCTGCCTTGCGTGGGCCAGGCACTGGGGCCCGGGCGTGGGCCTGCCTGTCCTCACTGGGCCGTCCAGGTCGCATACTCTATACTGACGGCCCAAGGTCAGTGTCAGCCCGAGGAGGCAGCGTCGACTGGCAGCAGCCCTGCAGGGTTCCCTCCAGAAATCGGGTGCTTTCCTGGAACGTCATTGGCTGCTGGGATCGTCCTGATGATGGGGATGATGATGATGATGATGATACGTGTATCTTCGTATGGTTTGCATTAGGAGTGTTCTCTTGTTTGACCTGAGAGAGGTGTCAGGGAGGCGGGATGAAGACGTGGTTGAGAATGTGGGTTCACTTAACATCTCTGCACCTCAGTCTCCTCAACGGTGCAGCGGAGATAAAGGGATCTACCCGATAGGGTTCTGGGAAGGCTTAAATTAATGGATATTTGCAGGGCACTGAGAGCAGTGCCTGATACATGCTGGTCTAACGCTTGTTATGTTGCTCATTTCTCTTTCTTTTTTAAATTGATATGTGTTTGTTCTTAGAGAGACAGAGCATGAGCGGGCGAGGGGCACGGAGAGAGGGAGCCACAGGATCCAAAGCAGGCTCCAGGCTCCGAGCTGTCAGCACAGAGCCCAACGCGGGGCTCGAACTCACGGACCGTGAGATCGTGACCTGAGCCGAAGTCGGACACTCAACTGACTGGCCACCCAGACGCCCCTCGTTCTGTTGTTAATTTCGAAGATAGGCCTGCCAGCACAGGGTCCCCCTCATTTGACGGGTGAGGGTGTGGAAGTCCAGAGTCACGCGGCCTGCTGTAGTCAGGCGTCCTGACTTCTTCCTGTTCCCACACTTGTCTCTGTCCCGATTATGGGGTGTGTGCAGGGAGCACAGAGGAGAATCTCCTACAGAGTATGCCTGTGGCTTGGAAGGACTGTTCCTGAGGGCGGCCGTGCCAGCGGGTCCGGCTTGCAGGTTGGTCTTGGCTCCCCGTACAGAGCGCCGCCACATGGGGTTAGGGAGCGTCTCTGTGAGGGGGTCCGCGCCGGCATCGTTCACATGTTCGGGAAGGTCAGCCATATCTGGGGTGGGCCCTCACCCCGGAACGTTTGCCGACTTTTCCATCAGATCCAGTACTGGGGGCCTGCGTGGCTCAGTCAGTTGACCATCCGACTCTTGGTTTCCGCTCAGGTCATGATCTCCTGGTTTGTGGGTTCAGGCCGCGTGCAGGCTCTGCGCTGACAGCACGGAGCCTGCTTGGGATTCTCTCTCTCCCTCTCTTTCTGCTCCTCCCCAACTTGTGCGCTTGCCCCCCCCCCCAAAAAAAATAAATAAACATTAAAAAGTAATCAGATCCAGTAGTATTAGGAGCTTAGAGGAAACTAAGGTTTACTTGGCCAGGAGGTGATTTCGACATGTGTGTGGCTTAAAGACTGATTTCTAGACTGTCTGGCGTTCCGTGCAGGTTCCGTGGCTGTCTGTGTTTTCACGCCTCCTCTGGGGTCCTGGAACGCGGCCCCCGCAGGTAGGGCCAGACCCCTGTCAGCCTACGTGCAAGGACCCCCTTACCTTTCCTGCACGCAGATTTTGTTTTTCTTGGACTTAGTAAGTGTCTTGTTTTAAAGGATTGGTGCCCTAGCCCCTAATGTGGCCTTCTACGTGCATCTCCTCACAATACGTGAAGACGTCAGGTATCGTGTCCGTGTTCACTCGTGGACGCCATCTCCGCTGGGGCGTCAGGCCCCGTCCCACTGCAAACAGCGCTGCCCCAGCCTGCTGTGTGCCACATCTTGTCACGGGCTCTGCCTTCAGGTCGCTCTGGGGCTCCTTCGATCTGCCCCTGTACCGGCTTCCCTGTTTCCCTCACTTCATATCGTCTCCTGTCTTGGTTAACTCCCTTGGTTTGGCAGGCCACATCTTCTGGAACCTTCCTAACAAATCACATGGGAGGTGAGACTCCTCTGAGTTGCTTCGTATCTGAGAACGTCACATTCGTATTTAATTTACGGTCTGGCTGGGTGTAGAATTCCAGGGTGGGAATCTCTGAACCTCTGAACAGGGCAGGCTGGTGCTTTGTCCTCTGGTTTCTAGCGTTGAGTGGACAAGCCTGACACCTTCTGATTCCCGGCCCCCTTGTCGGATGTGATTTTTCCTTTTCTCTCTGACTCTATCTTCTGCGTTCTGAAATTTCGTGATGATCTTCCTTGGTGGGGGAGGGCCGCTGTTCACTTGTTCCGCTGAGATCCAAATGGGCGTTTTCAGGCTGGCAACTCATGTCTTTCGTTTTTAGAAATTTTCTTGAAGTATGTCATTATTGATTTCCCTCTGTCTTCCCTCTTCTTTCCTTCTGACGTGCCTGTTAGTGCGGACTTAGCCTTGGCTGTCTTGTCTTTGTTCTGATTTCTCTTCGAATATTTTCTCAACTTTGCTTTTGAATCTTTGATTAAAGGTTTCATGTTTTACACTTTTATTTTCTGACAGCTCTCTTTTTCATGGTGGCTGTTCTGTGAATGCTTCTGTTTTACAGAATCTTACTATTTCAGGACAGTATTTTCTCTTAGTCCTCTGAGGAGATTAATCATATGTTTTTTCCTTCTTTTTGAAGCTTTTTTTTTTTCCTGCATAATTTGTTGTGTTGCTTTTTTCTCCTCCCATTTCTGTCTTTCACATTAGATACTTCCTCTGTTTGCCTGCTAGTCCTTGAGTGTCTGTTCATGTTTAAGAATGACGCTTCACATTGGGGCGCCTGGGTGGCTCAGCTGTTAAAGCGTCTGACTTCAGCTCGGGTCACGATCTCGAGGTGTGGGAGTTCAAGCCCTGCGTCGGGCTCTGTACTGACAGCTCGGAGCCTGCACCCCTCCCTGCTCTTTCTGTCTCTCTCAAAAATAAATATTTTTTGAAAAGCCCTAATTATTCTTGTCTTGTGGTTTTAGAAGAGAGACAGACTGAGTATGTGTGTTCATTTCAGTGCCTTTAGCAGGAAGTCAACGTGGACCCCTTAAGCATCTCCAGGGCAGGGCCGGCCCGTCCACGTTTGGTGGCAGGCCTGTGGTGGCGAGCGGTAACTGGCATTCTCTCATTTCTAAGGCGTGATATATATTTAGATTCTCTCAGCAGAGATGTTGGCTTTCTTGTTAACGCTGCCGCAGCCGCTGCCTCTTCTTAGTTAAAGGCTTTCATCTCAGATATAAAATACCAACAAACTTATAAATAATTGGGCTTTGAGACAAAAAATAAGAATCCTTAAAACAAAAGAAAGCTCTTTATTGATGTTTCTGAAAGCAGTTTTCAGAGGGCAAGCGTATAATCCTTAGATTAAAATGCAGCTGACACCTTAAGCCTTCTTACAGGGAACGGGGATAATGGGCTTTAATGCCGTTTGTCCTTGACCACCCACAGAGGGCACTCCTCGGCCGGCCAGAGAGACGCGCAAATCGGGCCCAGAGAGCCAGGCCGTGTTTGTGGCTTTGATCCCTAGTAAATGCTTCCCCAAAGCCTTCAAGCTCGGGCCGTCAGACAGGTTGCCAGAGAGCGGCTGAAAAACACTGGGAAAAAAGGAGCTTTAGCTCTGCTAGCAGGTCTCCGCTGGGATTGGGCGGTTTTTAGGAGGGCAGTGTGGTTCTTTTAATACCGGCCAGCTGACCCCGGATCGGCACCGGTGTGCTCCCGGGGACGCGTGCACTTGCTTGCCGTCTTCCCCGCCTGGGGGGCGCGTCCTCGGTCCTCCCTGCTCACTGGAGCACGGCCCCTTCAGGGGAAGGCAGGCCTGCCCCGCCTGATAACCCGAGAGAGGGTCGCTCGGCCCCGGTGGCCGCCGGATGACGGAGTTCCGGCAGAGGGCCCTGCGCTGGCCGCAGACTTCGTCCCCGGAAGGGGAAGCGAGACGGACAGCTCTACGTGTGCTGATTGCCGTGGGAGCCTGCCGACGTCCTGGTGCACTTCTGGGAGGGCCGTGTGCGGAACCGAGAGACCGCTTTCCACGTGAGAGCTTGGGCTCGGTATTGCTCCGTCAGCCTTTGAGGAAATCGGATTCGTGGGCTTCCTGGGTTTGGAAAGTCACCGACTCTTCGTATTAAAGCCACGGACGGTCTGGGGGCAGTTTTCCTTCCTGTCCTGACTGTCCTGAGGTTGGACTAAAGCACCTAGGAAGCACCGTCCTGCAGCGATGCCTGGCTCTTTGTGCTCTTTAAAAACATGGAATGTCAGCGCATGGCGGCTTCTTGTGGGTGAGAGTGCATCAGCCACTCCTGTCGTCCCTGCGCTCGTTCCCCGGCCCCCCTCCCGGGCCGTGTCCCCGTCTCTCACCGTGCGTGGTGCTGCCTGGATTCTGGGAGCCGCGTCTGTGACTTAGCGGACGGGGGCCGCAGCTTGGGGTGCGGAGGGGACCGTGTGGGTGGCGCTGGGTCAGCTGACTGACGCCCAGCCGAGGTCTCCTGGGGTTTGTCATCCTCCTCGATGACCAGACTTGATGCCTCTGCGACTCGTCCGCTTCGGAGGCTCTGGCCCGAGCGCAAGCGAAACCTTTCCTTGGTGACCCTCTGCTCAACTGGAGTGCCCTGAAGCACCTGGAAGACTTTTTTGTTTTAAATCCTGAGGGTCGGCAAAGGAAAACAAACCCTTGTTAAAAATCAAAAGCAGAACTGCAACTGTTCCTCGCAGAAAATACCCATTCAGATCTTGGCCAGAGCTGGTCGGCTCCCAGGGTGTGAGGCCCCAGGTCTGTGCAGTGTTTGTATATGCCAGACCGAGAGTCAAGGACGAAGCGAACTGTTCTCGTTTCCAGGCGATTTCGATTGTATGCCCACAGGGCAACCGGCACTTAGGGTTCCGCTCTGAGGGCGCTTGGTGTGCATTTGCGATGATACGTATCCAGCACCTTCTCCCGGGAGACGTGGATCACCTGTGTGCGTTACAGTGTGATGGGCGGTGCCACGGAAAGTGAGTTCAATTCCCGAGATAGGTGATTCTTTTGTGTTTCAGAAAACACGGGAGACGGGCCGGAGCTCTGTCGTTTGTGATTTCAGATTGCCATGAATAGGCCCCCTCATCTGGGTGAGAATTTTCGCTGCTGTGGAGAAACTTGCCCTTCGGACAGAGTGTGAATGAAATACTCTATCCACTGTGGCCCCCCCCCGCCGCCGTTGGAGGCGGATGAGAAGAAAGAGTGGCGTTTATGGGATTCGGCTGTTCTGCTGGAAGGGGGTGTATCCTCCAGCTGCAGCTGGGGACTGCGGGGACGGAGTGACTGAGCGGCCCCGAGATCAGTGTACTGGCCGAGGGGCTCAGAGGCTGCTGGCTTCGCACACAAAACCCCAGCGTCCGATGGCTCGTGTGGAGGCCACGGTTGTGACATCGGAGACGTCAGCTGTCGAGTCCGTGACGAGGGTGATCTGGCCGTGTTTCTGTTTAAAGAGGTGGGGACTCACCTGTGGGGCGATGTGTCCGTCCCCCACCTCCTCGTGGGCGTCTCCGGGGTCAGAAGCCGGGGCCAAATGAGCGCCGACTGCTTGGCGAGCTTACTTACCAGCTGCCGCTCGGCTTTGCTTAGGAAAGCCTCTGGGGGTCCCACGCGGTCCCACGTGGGAGGTGTGACGTCCCTAGGAGTGGCACGAGGGCAGGGCCGGGAGCGGGGCTGGGCCCCGGCCCCCAGGTAGCTCTGGGAAGATCCGAAGCCTGTGTTTTTAGAGATGAATGGTTAGACTTCTTTGCCTTCTTTTTCTTTCGATTTTCTGTGGAACTCGGAAAAGCCTTTCAGGAGGCATCGGAGTGTTTCTGCCCTGCTGGGGCCGGGGCTTCCAAGGGTCAGCGGGTGCGCCCAGCGGCCGCTGGCAGTGCTGGCAGGGAGGGCTCTCTGGAGAGCTTTCTGGAGAGTTCTGTGAGCATTCAGCACTCTGGGCTGCGTTCCACATTAATGATGGAGACAGGCACTGTGTTTCCCTGACATCCATAGTAAGAGAAGAGGGGGATGAGGAGGGGATAGGGCAGGAGAGTGTCCAGAACGTGGAGAAGACATCCACAACGTGTTTCTATTCCGTTTAGAAAGTCTGGGGTGCCCGGGTGGCTCGGTCACTGAAGCAGCCAGCTCTTGGTTTCGGCTCAGGTCTGATCCCACAGTTCCTGAGATTGAGCCCCTAGTCGTGCTCCTCACTGAGCGTGGAGCCTGCTTAGGATTCTCTCTCTCCCTCTCAGAAAAAATTAAAAAAAAAAAACAAAAAACAAACGAGTGGGCATCTCTCTGCAGTACTGTGTTTCCTTCTAATTTTAGCAAGGTCGTAGTCTTGGGTTTGGCAATGGAACCTGCTCATATATATACCTATCTGTACATACGTACGCCTATATATGTAAATGTATATGTATATATTTTTGCCCCCCCCCCCCCCCCCCGCAAACCCAGTTTGCAGAGCAGACGACTGTGATGTTCGGAGAGTCCCTTCTGTCACCTCTCGCCACCCACCCCCTTTTCGGCCTTTAGAGTGCTGCGCAGCACGCTTGAATCCGGTGAATTCTGTCATTTTATGGGGAGGGGGCTGTGCATCTTGGCCTTTGTGATCTGCAAATGAGAACGTTGGGGTGCAGGCGGGGGGAAGGGGCTCGCCTCTCCACCACCCCCCCCTTCACCCGCTGGAGGAGGCTGCACAGACTTTGACTCCTGGGCTACTTGGGAACGCCATACGATGCGGTATCTAGAATCCTCGTTCACACGTCTCGTCCCGCGGTGGGAGCTCCAGGAGCTGCCGTGTTTAGACGGGACGAAGGGCTGTGAGCCTTGGAAGAGGCAGCCTTCACCCGCGCTCCTGGATTTGCACCGCGTAGCACGCTCGGCCGGCCGGCCGGCCGGTCTCTGCTGTGGTCCTGTTTCTAGTTGAAGAGCTGGCCGGCCAGCCCTTGCTCAGAACCTCTGCCAGATGCACGGTGGTGGCACTTCCTCCCTCACCCTCCTGTGTGGCCGCTCAGTGTTGTCAGCCCCACCTTCCGTGGGCCGTGCGAAAGAGCCTGGACAGACCGGGGTATAGATCCGGCTTCTTGGTGTGACCATGCGGAAATTAGCTAGCCTTGTCTGTTGTTGTTTGCTCCAGGGTTGTTTCAGGGATTAAGTGAGATTATACATACATATAGGTACATGTGTATATATGGGAGTTTTATATCTGTGCTAATATGTAGATGTTTTTGTCTCTGCTACATATGTGCACAGGTACATGAGCCCCTTGTATATATTGTGCTCAGCACAGTACCTGGCATGTACCAGTAGCTGGTACCAACCCCGTCTGTGGTTGCCTCTGGCTTGCAGACCTTCTGCCTGCACGGTACCTGGCACGTCTGGCACAGCAGATGTTATTGTACTGCTATATACATTGTTAGGCTCCCGTTCTACTCTGGCCCTGAGACGTGCAGGGCTCGCGCTCTGGCACATGTGCTGGACTTGTTCAGTGCCCCCCGTGGACTACCCTCCCAGATGCACCAGCGCTTGCTGAAGAGAAGTGGAGAAGATACTGGGCTTTGTTTGGATTGCATCGATTCTAGTTTGCTTTTCTTAGTTCTTATTTTTCAGACTCTTAACCCTTTGCTGTGACGCTCCCTTAAAATCTTAACTGTCAAAACGGACCTTTCCCTGGGGCGGGGAATGTGCCCACTGGCAAAACGACCCCGTAAAGGTGTGTTTCTTTATCTTTTTACCTTTTTAGGTTTACTTTTCTCTCTGTAGGCACCGAGAGAGAAAGGATTTGTTTATGAAACAAATGGAATTTACGAGGCAGCCATTGGTTGTTCTGCTTTTGGTCAGTAATTTGATCAGAGTCTTGACCAGCAAGAGATAAGTGATGTTTGCAGTTGGACTTGATAAAATTCTGGCCAGAGGCAAAGACTGTTTTGTCCCCGACCTTGTCTGGAAGGATCGAGGGCAGGAGCAGTTACTCCTACCTTTACTGACGTGGCAGAGAACCGAGGGGCCCCCAGTACAAATGTTATTGGGACCCTAATGGGGAACTGTGGGTGCAGAGCGGTGGTACATGGGCCTTGAGGGTTTCTCTCATTTCACTCACTGGGCCTTCATCTTCACTTTTAAAAAGAATTTCATGTGTGATGCAGCGGCATTAGCTATACTTTAGGGTCCAGATTATGTTGAGTGTTTTCTGGATTATTAAAATAATAAGTTCAGAATAGTTGAAGTCCAAAGGCACGCCCATTTCCTTCTAATCCCTAACACTGTAATGTTACCTGGGGCTCATAACAGATTGACTACAATCACTCTGTGATTTTCTGTGACTGAACTCTGGTTCTTTTTTTGTTTGTTTTCTTTTTAGGTTCATTCATTTAGAGAGAGATAGGGAGAGCAGGGGAGGGGCACAGAGAGAGGGAGAGAGGGAATCCCAATAAGGCTCCGTGCTGACACAGCAGAGCCCAATGTGGGGCTCGAACTCATGAGCCATGAGACTCTGTCCTGAACCAAAACCAAGAGTCAGACGCTTAACCGACTGAGCCACCCAGGCGCCCAAGATGCTTCTTGAGTGACTTTTTTCTGCCAGTGAGAAAGGCTGGTTCAAACAGTAAAGACCGTGAAGCGGTCCCTGACCTTCCTTCTGGGAAGGGGAGCCCAGGAATTCTACAACGGTTTTCCAGTTTTCATGGCATCCGTTCCCTGGAGGCCCACGGAGTCCAGTGCCTCGTCAGTTTCGTAAAAACTGCCTTAAGAAACGTAGCCCTCAATTCCTAGGGCAGCCGTAGACAAGGTCGCTGCGTGGGGCTCATGGGGCGCCATCTTGGGCCTAGTCCCGGGCCCCGCCAGCAGCCCACTGTGTGGGCACAGGCCGGCCTCGTCCAGGAGGCCCAGCTGCCACAGCGGCGGCCTCAGCGCTGACCCCGGGCCCTCTCGACTCCAGAGTCCATGCTGTTAACTGGTACGTTTTATCGCCTCCCAGCCAGAAATGAGCCAGCTTTTCTGCCCCAAGATCTCTGCTCCTTGTGAGGTCATGTGCCTCCGTGTCCCCACATCCTTACTGTTCATCTCCACCGCACCCCCAACACCCAAACTTCACATTCACGTCACTGCTACCCCCGCAGGCGCCCCAGGCTGCAAGCACTTCTTTGTTCCGGGCAAAGAAATCCCCCCTTGGCGCCTGGTACATTACTCGCCCCAGTTCCCGGAGGAACAGTCCCAGTCCCACTGTGTGCTGAGGGTTGTTCAGGAAAGGGGCAGGAAGCTGAGGCTAGGAGTTCTGAGTGGGATGGGCGTGACGAGGCTGGTGGTGTGGCCTGGAGGGGGGACCAGTGGCTGGAGGCCCCGTGGTGGACAGCAAGGGGTCCTGGCGGCTCCCCCAGCTCACACACGCGGTCATTCTGCCCTCCGGTGTATTTGTTTCTTCCCTTGTTGCCTTCTTCATTCACGCATTGTCCACGAGCTCGTGAGCAGCGTTATTTTCAAGCTCCTTTTGGGGCTGTGTAAGCACGCAGAGTGTGAGGGCTTGCGTCTGCTTCCTTTTAGCGGGAGGAAAAGGAAGTGTGGAAGAAACAGAAATACGTATATATCGCTGCTTAAAAATACTGGTACTTAAAAGTACCAGATGCTTTTTGCTCAGAAAATGAAGATGTTTGAGGTGTTCTAGAAATGTGATGGTCAAGGCAAAAGCGTTTGAAAGCTCTCGCCTGCTGTTCTCAGAGTGAACTGGACACACGTTCCCAGCCCCTTCCGCACACCCGAGAGGTGGGGCGTGAAGAAATGATGCCATTTCATCATTTCCTGGAAGGCAGACATTACGTGCAAAACGTAATGACGAAATAAGAGATACAGTAGTTTAGAAATTTAATGTTTCTGGAAAGTCTAACGTTCGGGGAATGTTTGAACCGGGAAAAGATGTCTTCTCCCTTTTTTCCCCTATGGAAAAAGGAAACTTTGAAACATTTGAAAAAAGTGTTTGTCTGTTTTTTTAAAGCCCGCTTTATGATGCATCTGAAACGAGAAGCCCAAATTGGAGTGCCTTGGGGGGCCAGGCAGGTGACGAATGGGCGAAGCAGGTTGGATATTAAATAAAAGCAGAGCCTGGGCCCTATGACCCAGCGGAAAGGCGCGTGTCCCTTAGAGCAGGAGCAGATTCTGCCGGAGTCCACTCGGCGTTGCCATATGGTGGCCCCTGTGTGGGGTGGGAGCCAGATCTCACATCTTCATAGAAATCCGGAGTTTTGAGTAACCGACGGAAAGCCTTAAATGACACCAGCGCCCTGTGGGCCAAGCAGACCCCGTCTGTGGTTGCCTCTGGCTTGCAGACCATCTGCCTGCACCTGTGTGTGTGTGTGTGTGTGTGTGTGTGTGTGTGTGTGTGTGTGTGTTTTAGCAGAATATACCGTGTAGAACCCAGAGTACTCTCCTGGGTGTTGTACATTTGAAAATGAAGTTTTCAGGGGGCGCCTGGGTGGCTCAGTT